GGAAATAGTTACATTATATACTTTTTTTGTAGGAAATTTAATGTTCTTTAATTTCCTAATTTAGTATAGTATACGAAAAGTTGATAGTTTTCGAGATATTTAGGAAAAACCTAAAATTGGTACCTAACAGCGGCCATTTTGGACGCCATCTTGGATTGGAAAAAATGACACCCTAATTTTTTTTTGGAGATTACTATATCATCTTTCAAAATATATTAAGTTTTTGCCTTTAACAAAAAAAAAACACGAATCTTTATTTTATTACAAATGAGCCTGCACTATACGTGCCTACAAAACATAAGAGGTTGTGTGGATTCTTTTTGTATTTTTTTCTGAAATATTGAATATTCTAATAATTTTTAAACAACTATCTGTACCGATAGTTGAAGATACTTGTTAAGTAAACTATTAAACAATGTTTGATTGACAGTTGGTTATCCCCTCATTAAAGCTTGTAAATTAACTAAAATTTTAAAGTAATTACAATTAGACTTAAATAAAAGAACAATTCAACCAGCAAATTTATTTATCCATGACAAGTCGATTACACAGTAAAAAGACATTCAGCATAAAATATACTGGTTTAACATGGAAAAATGTTATGCCGAGTAGTTTATCATTTTAAATCTAATATTTTTTTCAAAGCACTTGTAAAATACCTACAACCTGTTAAGTTAAACAGTAATGCCATATAAAATTGTAAAAGAATTTAAGAATTAGTTGTTAGTTCTTTGTCAAAAAGTTTAATTAGTTTATAAACCTATGACAGGCCAACATAAATTTGACCTTCTGGCTCATGTTCTTTTCTTCAGTTATTATTGGATATAAGTTACTTTTCAAAAGAATAGGAAACACGAAAGAATAGGAAAATAAATTGTGTTCCACTCACAATAATACAATACAGGGTAGGCCTACTAAAAGATTAATTTAATACGCACTTGTTTCTTAAAAAAGGGAATAAAGTACTATTCAGACTTGATAAATATAGAATGTGGAATTCCTCAAGGCTCAATTCTTGGGCCTTTATTAATGATCATCTATATCAATGACTTGCCCCAAAAAATTCTTTCAGAATTAATACTTATCGCAGATGATACCACAGCTTTTGTGAAAGGCAACTCAATGTCGGAAGTGCAAATTTCAGTAAACAAAACTTTGGAAAATCTCCGTGAATGGTTTACAGCTAATGACCTGGCACTAAACAGTGATAAAACAAACGTCTTATAAAAAAAAATCAAATATGATAGATATTTCACAACAAAAATTTCTTGTAGCGATTATTGGTCAAAATTAAATTGGAAGGAATATATTGATTATTTGTTAAAAAAATTAAGATAATTATTTTTTGCTTTTTCAGTTCTTTCTCAGAGTAATAATTTTGAAATTCGCTTCCATGTAGTTTGCTGTATGATACTATCTATAAGAATGTTGACAAATCAACACTCATTTCTTCCAGTAGACAAAAGCTATAGTTTTCAATAACCCTCAGAAGAATCTTTATTATTTTTCCACCCTCGTTCTTATATACGACAGCCAAGTGGAAAGCAATATCCATTTGGTGGTCAATATATTGCCGTTTGGGGCGAAACATTATTTCTTGTCTTTATCACTTCAGATGCTTTATCTTATAAATCCATTTCTCCTCAATATTGTTTTATCTATATAGTGTTTTTCAAATGATTTGTATTATTTTTCTAAAATGGTTTAATCGGTTAAGGATTTTATTACAGGGAAGTATGTTTTAGTATAACAACTAATTACTAAATTAAAAACTTTAAATAGAGTTAACCACAGTAAAGAAAATATAGATGGCAAGATGGGAATATCAAAGAAATTAAGGTCTAAATTTATTTCAAACAGGGCCGGACTCAGGACTACAGGGGCCCCGGGCAAATTTTCCAATGGGGCCCTAGGATTTCAGTTCGGGGGGGGGGGTCCTCCAGTGAGATTGGGGGGACCCCCCGGGAAAATTTCTAAATTTAGGTTTTAAATAGAGCAATTGAAGGCCAAATAAGCAATAAGTTCTATATAAAAAATTGTTCCTAAAATATAACTATTTTTACATATTTTAATTTTATACACAAAAATAAAAATGTATTGCTTTGTAGTACCAGTGACGGCATATTTGGTATGGTAGCATGGTAGGCTACCATAATATATTTGGATTAGAAGTATTGATATATTTTTGTTTATTACGTATTTAAATTATCGATTATTGCCGACGATTTGTATGGTTTTTCAATATTACTACAATATAGGTGTGATTATTTTATTTTCATAATGTTTTTGGTACCTATAGCATTCTCGTTTTTATAATATGTTAAAGTCCTAGCATGAAAATTACCATTGAGGACTTTCAAGGTTGAGTTTTTTATTGACGAGCAAAATCTTGCAATGTCTAATAAACACTCACAAGCTAACTATTTATATGAGAAACTGAAAGATGTTTAAATGGATCCAATATCGATTAATACAACACAAACATAGCATTGAATCAACGTAAGACAATTTCAACCAACTTGACGTGACCTCTAGTCTCAAAGGACAAACTATGGGAGTAAAGTGATTTAAATTGTTTTGGATAGGCGATAAGGCATTTTATGTGTGTGTATGCGCGTGCGTGAGACAGAGAGGACTAGACAGGATCCCTTATCAGCTCATTATCATTTACTGTTGCAGCTGCTTCTGCGTATTCGCTTATTTTGAATTTGACTCCAAAGACTAAATTGGAGATCAAAATTTTGACGCATAACTTTAATTAATTACTATTTTACAAAACCTTTAAATTGGACGGATAATATACTTCTACCCCTTAAAATCCTGATTGGTATATACTTAGAGGTAAAAGAAAAGAAAAACATTTAATAAAACATAAACGGAGCAATATTTTTATTTTTTAAAGTATTTGAACACCAGTGAATCTCCATTTAAAACAACACAATTTTACAAGTTACGTTCTACGTTGGGACAAGAGTTTTCATATTTATTGTATTTTTGCCCCAAGCGCGGGACCCCCTTCAACTCATTCGCCGCGGCCGTACGTTCGGGCGAGCGGCTTCATTGAAACTGAAACTTGTCCGTCACAGCCTATCACATGCTCAGCTCATGTAAACCAGGCCTAAGCGTGGGGCCCAGTGCAACTCTGAGGTAAAGTCCCTTAGGGTCAAGAATTTCATTCCTAGTAATGCCTTAAAATGCACCTAACAATAGCCTTGAACATAGGATAGCGAAAATGAAAATAAAGCTGTTACAAAAGAAGGCCATTTGGTAAGTGTCTGATCAATTTTCGAAGTTAATGATAAAAACTACTGTACAAAGGGGGCCCCTGTCGGGGCCCCCCTTGGCTCGGGGGCCCCGGGCGTTCGCCCCCTTCGCCCATAGGTAAGTCCGGCCCTGATTTCAAAGAGTTTCAGTTTAAACAGAGTGAAAACTTAAATGATACAAATTAAAATAATTGATGCAGTCTATATCCTTTTTGTTTACGTACAAACTTAATTTTTTTGTTTAATTAATTAAGAATTTAAATTATTTTAAGATACTAATCATTGAAATAATAATAATAATAATACTTTATTCTCTTGACAATGTACATTGTATAGTATACTTTTTTTGTATTAAGATGTTACATAACATCAATCATCACAGCAAAAACCATATAGGCCTATATAATAAATGTTTTAAAATAATTATATAATGAATACCTGCAAGTACTGTATATACTAGTCAAGTAACAGACAAAATTGAAATGTGTGTCTCTTTAATTAGCTTAAAAATGAAATGAAATATTATTTATTTACCCAATAAGCAATAAGTTATTACCTTTATTAATAAAACAACTAGACATTCCATCCCCATGTTAAAGTTGTAGCCAGGTTTTTAATAAAATTTGTCTTAGTTGATGTGAGCCACCTACAGATTGCGCTGATCTAAATTACTGATTTCTGCCGATTACACGATTGTAGGTCTCATGGTAAGACCTAGACCCGGAACTGGTTTACCTTTTCATTTGGTTATAGGCTTACCTAGAGGCCAAAAACACAGTCACATTTTTACATGATACCTAATTAGTTGTTTCATCAAATACATTCTTTACTTTAAAATTTCATTGTAAAATTTACGATTCATATTCACATTTGCTTATAATAAACAATAAATTAAGTATAATATAAATTTAATTTCATTCTATTGGATACTGTATTCAAAATAACAGGATAATTTTCATACATAACGGTACCACATTGTAAGTCAAGTTGATAACCAAATTTAATATCCTACTGGAACATAAGGAAACATTGCCTGAAGGAGAGAGAACAGGATTGCATAGCGTCAAGCTACAAAATTAGATTTGTACCTTCAGGCTTTGTCAGGCTTCATGAATAATTTAAACAACACAATAATAATACAAAATGTTTCTATATTATGATATGATGTTTGTCTCTAATATTTGGTTGCTGTTTATTAGTTACTAGCTGAGTACCCGTCCTTCGTCCGGGGTAGATGTATGTTTAAATGGTGCTTTTTGAAATCTGAAATTAAAAACATTGTAAAATAAGTAAACTCAAGGGAGGTGAAAAAGTTTTAATATGAACATGTTAAAATAAAATATATATTTACAATACAGACTTATAAACAATGTTTACAGCTTTCCTATCTTTTGTGAAAATATACAGGTTTTTTCCACTAGAAACACGTGAGCAAGCAACGTATAATTGCCCATGGGAGAAACATTGTGTTTCCAAATAGAGGCCTGCAACCTGTAGAGTCTGTCCTTGTGCTTTATTTATCGTCATTGAAAAAGCAACCTTTAAGGGGAACTGAAGGCGCTTAAAATTGAAGGGTAGGTTTGCTGTTGTAATGGGAATCCTGGGAATGAGTACTTCTTCCCCCTTTGCAGAACCAGTTAAAATCTTAGCTTCTATGACATTTTCTTTTAATGATGTAATTAAAAGCCTAGTACCGTTACACAACCTAGGTGGCGCTAAGTTCCTAAGTAGTATTACTGGGATTCCTAATTGCAATTCAAGCTTGTGCGGGGGAATACCAGGCAGTTCCAAGGTGTTAAGAAACTCAACAGGGTAGTGTAGTGCTTGCTCCTCTTCTGTAATTGAATCAATGGACAAATAAGATTTAACTTCACCATGAATAATGTTCATAATTTTGCTGTTTATTTTGTTCACATCGTCATTTTTGGGGGCTAAAATTGCTCTGCAGGATAACCATTCAGGATCATAGTGGTTGTTTTGTAAGTCAGGAAACACACTTGCTATAAGCTCTTCCGCAGAAGCAACCATGTGACCAAAGTTTTCTGGGAAGGAAATCATCTTATGTTGGTCAGTTTTCATTCTACCTTCACCAATCTTGAGCAAATCACCTGAAAATTGTCTGGCATCACAGTCGTTATGGAGACTTACCCTCATATTTTGAACCAAGTGATACTGCTCAATATGACTCCATAGGACAGACTTTTTCAAACAGGAATTGATTTCATCTGCTGGAGTTCCACGTTGGATAACTGGTAGGGTTTGTCTAAAGTCCCCTGACAACAAAACAACTAAGCCCCCCATTAAATCTTGACTATTTCTGATGTCTTGAAGTGTTGCATTCAATGCTTCAAATGCTCGTTTGTGAGACATTGTACATTCATCCCACACCAGTAATGTACAACGTCGGAGGACTTCAGCTCGATCAGAGGTTTTGCTGATATTGCATTGTGTGGTTTCAGCAGTTGCTAGGTTAAGTGGTAGTTTCAATGCAGAATGTGCAGTTCTTCCACCAGGTAGAAGTGTTGAAGCAATGCCAGAGGATGCAATCGCAAGAGCAATGTGATTTTCTTTTCTCAGCTTAGCCAATATGAGAGTTATAAGAAAAGTTTTACCTGTTCCACCTGGAGCGTCTAGGAAGATAATTCCTCCTTTTCTACTCTCAATCCTCTCTAAAATTGTATCATAAACCACTTGTTGCTCGGGTAGAAGTTTTGGTAACATCTCTTGTACTTGGAGCTGCATATCGTCGATGTTATATGCCATTTCTTTTAGAAGTTCAGGGTTGATTCCATTCAATAAGTTTGGAGCGGGTAAGCCAAACGAACTTAAATCTTTCCCACTCATAGACTTCACCAGTTCTTGGATATTCGTTAGGGCCTCATTGTAAACTATGTCATTGTACTGAAGGTCAGGGACGACTTCCCTGTGTCGATGTAAGATATCATCAGACAAATCATTTCTGAATGATTCCCACAAAGTTATAGGGCTTGACAACTCACACGTACTTATCAATATTGCAAATAGATGGCGTACACGAGAAGCTGAGCGAGTCAGAACAGCTTCTTCCATCGTTGACTCCCAATGGTTGTCATTCTCAAGCAGACCAAGGGCCTGACAGGCTTCTCTGTATGTGCCACAAATTTGGTTATTTACTGTCCTTAGTTGCTGAAAAGATGTAGGGCCTCTTACTTTATGAAGAAGCAAACGAAGACAATAGCACTCAAAGTTTGCCGGATGAACAGTATATACACGACCTAATGCATCTGAGTATTTAACATCTGCATAACCATGGACAGGTGTTCCTTGAATTCGGCGCCTGAATACTTTCTCGGTTGCGTTGAAAGTGAAATAGTGTGGAACTTCATGATACAAAAGTGTTTTTGCAAAATCATCATTTTGGCATAGATCAAAGAGTGCAGTCAACGTGGTTGGTGGTGGGTTTTGCAATCTTTCATTCATGTTTTCCTCATTAAAGTATACCCGCTGACCATTTTCTAGGTGTACTGATAGATGAGTCACAGTTGGTTTCCTCTCATGCACTGGGAATCCAAATATGCGCCAAGCAGCCTCATTACTACTTAAGTAACGTCCGGTTTGATAAATAGTCACTTCATCCTTTAGATTGTCTAATTGTGCGCCTTTCACCAAATTGAATGCAGCTTGGTCACTTCCCTTGTGTATGTATTTACAAACGTACTTTATGGCCTTAACTGAGCTGCAGTATTCTACATTGATGTGCGCATTGAAGATCTTAATCAAAGTTGGGCAATATGGGACAATCCAGCGGTTGTCTATCTCCACAGCAACATTTCCAGCAGCTTTCATATTAATATGACCCGTGAATCCACCATCATGTGGACTCCGTCTACGGTACATAGGATAACCATCATCATTTGTTTGGGTGTTTTCAATCAGGGGCCTTGGGTAGTGTTTCGTACATTTGCCGTCTTTCATGCATGGAGACCGTTGGTTGTAAGCACCACAAGGTCCGTGTACCATATGTTTCAGTACATACTCATGAAGAACCGGATCAGAGGTACGTTCTGGGATTTCAGAACTAATGACACTGTCAATCTGATTAGGACGGATTTTTTCACATAACCAAAGGAGGTAATGGATGTGAGGTAATCCACGTTTCTGCCACTCTACAGTGTAGATAAAGCATCTGACAGAGCCAAAAACTTCCCCTTTGTTGATCACTGCGACAAAAATCTTTATTTTTTGATGAAACACACGTGAAACAATGTCATGTCTGTCTGTTGCTTTCTGCCCTGGAAGCAAGGATTCCAATATTTCGGGCCATTTTGGATTGCATGTTAAAGTTATAAATAAGTCCGGGCGACCGTAGTTTTTAACATAGGTCAAAGCGTCTTGTGCCCTTTCACTTAAATACCTCGGAGATCCTACAAAACTTGAAGGAAGGATAACAGATTGGCCAATATCATTAGCACTCAGTGTCGCATCATTGTTCAAAGCATCTCTCAAATGCACGTAGCTCTCAGCCCTAAGTTTTTTTTGATTGAGCTTAATGTACAGTAGGCGTTCAGTTTCTATTTTGGCGTACATGTCAACTATGAACTGGTTTAGGAGCTGTCTATACCTCAAGATAGTATTAAAATCGTCTTCGCGTACCATTAACATGTACGCATAGAAATCCATTGACGAAACCTTCTTGTTTGTAGGGAGATTAGTATTTGGATCCATCATGGGGATACCAAAATGATACCCCTCTTGTCCTTTTGAGAAAATTAGTGGGTATTGTAGTGCATCGTAGAAGCGGTGAGTTTCAGACACTCGGAGAAGATTGCCATCACGTTTCCTTAATACAATGTCTCGGCTCTCAAACTCATTTCCAGCAATGACAATCGCCACTTCATCTGCAGTAGGAGCATTGTACCGGCGTTCATGTTCACCAGGTGGACGGCGGTCAGCACGAATTACAACTTTGTAGTTATCTGTTGGAAGAAGTTCCATAGCAGTTTTAAAAGAACGTACTAATTGATTTTCTTCATGAAACATTTGCTGTATATCTTCGACCGTTGTACGACAAACACCAGGTATGTTGTTGCAACGTGTGTCTGTTTCAATGTCCTGATCCCCAATAAAATATATTTGTAGAAAGCTATGGGGCTTTCCTGAAGGAGGAAGAAGGCTACCAATGCGGTGATAAACTTGTCCCTGAACAGTAAAAGTAGTATGAAAATGAGGAACAATAGTCTGAACAGATGCTCCAAAAGATGTCATTTGGAAACACATATTATATTTTCTAATATTTTGTAAGAAATCTTTTGATTCCCTTGTTTCTCCCTTGAGCAAAGTGATAAGGGGTTCAGGTGGCTCTTCCAAATGAGTAACTTTGACTTTGCCACTTGAGCAACACATTCCAACAGATTCTCCTGGCCACTTGGCTGCTCTGCAATGCCTACATATACTATTAATATGTCCAATTGAAAGAAGATTGTGGTTTTTGTAATCAATTGTTGGGTCATAATTAAATGCTATGTGTTTAAATGAATCCCACTTTCTTGTCATAAATTGTTGCCTGTCATTTCTTCGAGCGAATAATGGCTTCATGCTGTTCATTAGTTTGAGTTAAACGCTGTGCAGCGTGTCTTACTGAATCCTCTTCTCTACGTAGCAGACGCTGTTGAGGAGTTTCTTGGGACCGTAGGTAAGCAATCCTGTTAGCATTGGTTTGTAATCGAGCCTGACGACGTTCTGAAGTTTCAGAGAATCGTTGTAGTGCTGTAGTTTCTGTGTTTTTTTGCAGACGGACTTGTCTCTTTTGAAAGGACTCCCTTTCTCGCAAAGATGCCATTGCCCTTGCCTTAGCAGGACGACTGGAGAGGTTGCTCTTTTTTCTTTTAGGCATTTTAATATCCGAAAGTCCCACATGTATGTTAAAAAAGATTAAATTCCAATAAATCAAAAAAAACTTTATATAAAACTTAATATATCAAAAACTTTTAACTTTCTAATTACATTTAAAAAACATTTTCAAAAAATAAACAAATAAAAATCTCAAATCCTTTACTTACTTTTAAATTATAAAATAAAACATAGACAAACAATAATTTACAACATCTGGTTAATATTATGGTATAGCATTTAATTTGAATGAAATGAAACAGGTGATCTTGCTTCTAAAAAGCATTGCTCACTCAGCATTGAATATAAAAAAAAACTTATTATATACTATGTGAACAAACAAAAACATTAATACTCTTACTACTAAAACAAAACAAACAGAAACATACTATTTAGCTATTAAATAATAGGACTATTTAGTATTTAGTCCTACTATTTATAGCTCCTAATATTTATGCACCAAAGGCAAAGGCATATATACAACTTTTTTATTGTTGTTTTTAATTTGAAATATTTGTATATCAGCTTAGAATTAGTAAATTTAATGTCATTCAAACAATGTCATTGCAAGGGTAGGTTAAGTTAAGAGGAACTTGGTTGAAATTATACATGTAATGACCTTGAAACGCTCGTAAAAAGATATTCATTATTAGAATAGAATGTAAAATCTACAGGAAGTGTAAAAAGTTATAATATAGAGTAGTAGCTACCTCTGGATTAGAAAACATCATAACTCTATGGGTAGTAATATGAAAATATGATTTAAAAATTTGGGAAAAGGCTAATGGTGTGAAAAATATTTCGCTCAAAATGGCAAAAATATACAATTAATTATCTCCTTGAGAAAAATGTTTCAATTTTTAAGGTGTGTGCCCTACTCTAAACACATGTTAATTGTTCAAAAATGTTAAAATGATTCAAGTAAATGTGAACTTTATAATTTCACTATTTTTACACCAAACTCTTTCAATACAATTATTCACATTAGCAAAATTTTAAATAATTAATTAGGGTTAGATACAGCATCAGATATACAATCTCACTAATTTCATAAAATAAATAATCAATGAACCATCAAATATAAGAATAAATAAACATGATTGTAGAGAATATTATATGCCTCCTATTTATAAACCAGCTGTGGCATTGTGAATTAATGTGGTTTGACAGTTCAGCTTGTTTACATTTGGGTGGCATAGCAAATTGTAAACATTGTGTTTGTTCTCATGGCAGCCATGGAGACCAATCAATATTTACTTTTAAAATCCTCAACTCAGAACTTTTAAAGCCAAAGGGGCAAAGCCCACGGTCAGTATCGAAGTGTGAATAGTCCTATTATGGTCCTTGGTATGGTAGCTATATTTCTGTAAAATTTAAGCCCAGTCAGTTCAGTAGTTTATGCGCCTATTAGTAATACACATACAGACACCACAAGATTTTTATATAATAGTATAGAAGTATAGAAGATATAGATAGATATAGATTAGTTATTAGTTATTAGTTAACATCATTGTTGTCTTTTTTTAATTTGTTGTATCATAGAATTGGTGTTTATTTATTCTATGGTTGTATTACTATATTAAAAATACTATCTATAATCTAAAACAAGCGTGTGTGCGGACAAACTTTATTTTTGTCCGCGGATTTTTTTTGTTTATAATGGGGTATTTGGGCAAGAGAAATCAATTGGAGTGAATAATAATAATAATAAAACGTCTTTTATTTCAAGCGGTTTTCAGTAGCAATACTGTTTTTCAAAACTGCTCAAGTCAATACAAAAGATAAAAGAAATATTACAATAAAAATAATTGACTTATTAACTAAGAATACCTTAACTTAAATTTACAAAAGACATTTATGGAGTTCAGTCAAAAAGCATTATAACTAAGTTTTTTTACATTTTCTGGCAGTTGGTTGTATTTCTGAGGAGAAAAAAAAGAAAAACCCTTTTTACAGGCCATCCTGTCTTGTACTCCTCTCTCTCACATCTCTTCTAGATTTTAACTTATCTTTCAGATAAGTGGGTCTGCTAGTGTTGGTGACCCTGTGAACAATAGCCACAGTCTCTAACAAACATTCTGTCTGCACAGGCCACATCCCACTTTGCTTTCTGAAGGAAGATATGTGGTCAAATTTTCTCAAATCATACACAAATCTTAAAGCGTTGTTTTGCAGACGATTGATCAAATTAGTATGTTCAGTTGACAGGCTGAAACCAAAGGCAGGCAAAGCAAAATTAATGACAGGCATTACCAAGTTTTACATCTTCTGTCAGTATTTTCCTAAATCTATTGAACACCCTGAGCAAAGTCGTGACCTTTTGGACGATTGATTTTACTTGTTTTGAAAACTTTAACTCCATGTCAATTGTGAGACCAAGAATTTTAATTGTCTCAGTAGACTTCAATATCATGTTCTCCAGAATTACATTGAGATCGCGTTTGTGACTTAAAGAATGCAGGCTGCAAGAATAAGTTAAATGTAATAAAGAGCACTTCTCAAGGTCTCAAGGCTGGGAAAATCCAGTTTTTGCCCTACAGCCCTTTAAAGTACCCATATTATTGTCAATACCTTTTTGTAGCTGCAGATAATTAAACAACTGATACAGTTAGCTAAATAACTTTAACTTACCTAATAATTTTAATGTTAAATCCGAGCAAAGCTCGGTCTCCTAGTACTTTGGTTATAAAGAAGAGAAAATTGTTATTTAAATACCCGTGACACTCATTAAAAAGTCTATATGTGTTTCCATGAACATAACTCGAGTGACTGGTCCAATTTTGATTAAATTTGGGATGATTTTTTATAGCTGGAGAAACTTTATTCAGTTTGTGAACCAGCAAGATTAGGTAATAGGAACGTGTGTAAGTGTAATAGACCTTTTGAATGTTTAAAAAAAAAATATTCCAACCAATTATAAAAAAAATACCAAATACAATTTTGTATTACTTAGGGTGTACAGCTTAAAGCATTTTTGTACAATCGAAGGCTATGGAGATAATAAAAACAGTACTAGTACTAAGATTCCAATGGTATTCTTAAAATAAATTCTTTTGTAGTTTGCTTGCTTATGGATATAAACAAATACAAAAATTTTCAACTGTATAATATTATTATGATTTTGACCAAATTTGGCAGATTTATTTATTTCATACTACCAATTTCAACACTTAACAAAAAAAAACTACTTTTTTGTCCTTCCCTGTTGCAGCAAACCTAAGTACCGGTACTCAATGAATCTCAAGTTATTTAAATCAAGAACAAATCTGACATGTATGTTGATGGAAATATTTTAGTCTAAATTAATCAAGCAGAGGGAATTCATTTAGTCTGCAGGTTTGCTGGCTAATTCAAATTCAAATTCAAATTATCTTTATTTATATTATGTACAAAACGTACAATAAATAGTGTCAAGCTTATAATTACTATGTACAAATACTTAACCTAAACAAAAAATACAGAAAATAAAACTATAGCTGTAAAAATAATATCTATAGCTGTATACATTCATAAACAGTTCATCTATTGAGTAGATGGGTTTTTCTATCAAAAATTCTTTAAGTTTTTGTCTAAACTTTTTTTTATCTTTAATATCTTTTATTTCATTTGGTATTATCTTTAAAAATTTTACACCGGCATATGAGGGCTTATTTTTATACATTTCTAAGTTGTGTTTCGGTAGAACTATATTATTTTTGTTTCTAGTGTTGTATTGATGTGTTTCACAATGTGTTTTAAATTTGTCCTGGTTATTTTTTACATGTATGATACATTCGAGTATGTACAAACTAAACACAGTTAATATTTTCAAATTGACAAATTGTTGCTTTACAGACTCATTATAATCTAGATTTAACATTATTCTTATTGCCTTTTTCTGTAAAACAAGTATCTTATCTAAATTTTTCTGGGAAGTGCCTCCATACACTACTATTGCATAAGATATATGTGATTGGATATGGGAATGAAAAACTATTTTTAATGTTGCTAGGTCACTTAAATAAAACATTCTTTTAAAGGCATAGATTCCAGAATTTACCTTACGCACAATGCTTCCTACATGATGATCCCACCTAAGACATTCATCAATATGGATACCTAAAAATTTTGTACAATCAATTTGATTTATTGTGTTGTTGTCAATAAAAATATGAGGGCTACACTTATTTTTGTTCTGCCTAGTGCTGAAAGAAATAAAATTAGTTTTTTTGTGAATTTAGCATTAATCGATTGTTTACAAAAAATTCTTGGATTTGTGATAATTCTATATGAGCTGCTACTCCAAATCAATCTGACATTTAGCAGATACAATAAGATTAGAATCGTCAGCATACTGTACGAGTTTAGAACTATATATTACGTTGTTACATAGACAGTTTGGCATATTCTTAACGTAACAAATAAAAAGCAAAGGTCCAAGAATAGACCCTTGCGGGACGCCATGCTTTATACTTTGTGTTGCGGAGGGAATTTTTGAAATTATAGCGTTGTTTATATGACTGATTTGTGATTTCTGTAAATTGCTGCCTGTTGGTGAGATATGACCTGAACCACTGCAAAGGAGTTTTTTGAATCCCAAGATAATGCAATTTCTGTAACAGCCTTTCATGCGATATACTATCAAATGCTTTGGATGCTAGGGTATTTAGAGTTTAGAAGATCAGTTGCATAATTAAGACGGAACAAAATCAATGATTTAAAAATTTTATTTTTGCAGAGATTTGTAATAGTTAGAGAAGACCCTCCATGCTGATGGTGCCATGAATCCTTCAGGAGGAGTTCCTCCGGATCTTGCAATGGCTGGAAAATATAATCATTTGTATCAAAAAACACAATTTGTTATCTAGATAAACTCTAACCTTTTAGGTACCGGTATTTTACTAATATTTTTTTAAAAGGAAAAAATCATAAAGAAGAACCAATTACAATGTTACTATATCTTAATTTTCTTATATTTTGTATTATAGCTCTAGTAATCAAATGATTAGTTCACAAAATTATATCTGCAGTATGTGATTAACAGTTAACTGCAAAAAGCCTATCAAGTTCCTAAGGCAAATTATTATTCAGAACTAATATCATGAGTGATACAGATTATTTACATTGAACCTATTGGTTACAATAGATTTAAGGCCAGATTTCTATGAAAAAATATCATAATCCTAACATTCAATGTTTGATTTAATCTTAATTAATGTAGGATAACCAAACAACAGAGTTGACAGAATTTTTATCTGGGGATCAGTATTGTGATTTTGTGATTGGAAGACACAAAGCTGAAGTAAGTTCAATTAGTTTGAATTTGAACTCCTACCTCTCATTTTAGTGCCAGATATTTTCTCAAAGTCATCTTTCCTATTAGGATCGTAGAAGTCCATCTTCTTCTTAGTCTTGTCGTAAGCAGCCACCCTGAGAGGTAAGATCTCTAGTTGGGACAGGTAGGGTGCCATTTTGAGCACCCGAGCCCCATGGGTGCCGTCATAGAGGTCCCGGTCCAAACTCGGGTCTGGGTGAGGAACACCAGCTGGGTCACGACCCACGATGTAGAAGTTGGCTCCAGCGTTCATCCTAGCCTTGGCATGCCATTGAACCTGTAAAAGCAAGAATTTTGAAATTAATATGGGAATTTGAGATTAAAACTTAAAAATATATTAATACACAAAGACACAAAGTGGCACTGAGTTTATTAAGATCTTTTGCTCAGATATCAATCCATAATTATCTTCTTAAAAAGGGGAAATTATTTTTATTCTTAAAATAACACAAATTGCCACGCAGGTCAATGAGAATGGTCATCTAAAAGTAACTGCACTTCCTTCTTGGATTTTCTTACAGAGTTGAAACAGCTTTTGGTACAAAGCTACCTAATACATAGTCAGGATCTGCCAGCGGGTCAGAATGAACCTTGTAAATATGGTTGATCTACATAGTGACATAGTGTCTGCTCTTTCTTAATTTATTTTAACGACCGTTCAAATAAGCGATGGGCACTGGCCGATTGCTTTTGCGCTGGTTTGGGCAGATGAAGCAAACAGGGAGGTTGAAACAGGGGTCCTTGTAGGGTGAAATTTCTAAATTAGTATTTACCTCAGTTGGTCCAGCATACAGCATGGGAGATGGGAAGATAGCCAACACAGTAGACTTGGAGTCCAATATTCCCTCACTGAACACTGCAGCATGTTGCTCTATCCTGGTGTGCAGAGGAACATCATCGTCCTTTGTCCAACCTCCAAGGGGGTGGAGAAGAAGAACTGGATTCTTGTAACCTCGCTCCACCAATTGCCTCCTAGTATCCTTTAATTAAAAATCCTAAGTAATAGTTCAACACTACTTTAATCTTTAAAGCCACTTTTACACGAGGCCAGTTGGCGAGTAGGTTACTTGCAGCAGGTAACTTGAAATACATTAGAGGTAACCTGCCCCGTTACCTGTCTGCTCTACTGGTCTCGGGTAAACGCGGCTAAATTGATAGGAATAACTGATTACATGTACGCTGCTAATCCGTACATCATCCTCTTTAACACAACTACAACTAATCAACAATACTTGCTAGAACCATTGTATTTTCAGGTGTTTTGACTAAAATGTTGGACTTTATAGTGGGCATTACCATATTAGTTTGATTTTAATTTACTGTTTTGTTTTGAATGAAGAAAATATCAATCTGAATTATTTTATCTAAGTTATTTAACACCTTTGACTATTGATTCAACCCAATAGTCAATGCTAACAGTCTCAAGTATCATTTACTTAAATGAACTAATTAAGTAGGCCTACCTATAATAAACAATGGATTTACAAATTTACATAGGGTCATTTCTCAAGGTATTAATGATTTCAGTCCATGCTTTTGGTTAGGTTTCCAATGCTGAATTTAATTTTATATATAGTCTTTGCAGTCATTTGACTTCCGTTACATTTTTCTTTCATAAAGTGGTATTTACAGTATTTAAACTTCAACCGAAAGTTATAAAAACCACTATGTCACTGACCTGCATGAGAAGAGCATGTCCGTTGTGTATTGGGTTGCGCAGCTGGAAGGCGAATACAGCATCAGCTCCAATCTCCTTGAATTTCGCCCTCAACTCGTTGGGTGTGAGTCTGTACTTGTCTAAGCCATCGTTCCAGCGAATACGTTCCAAAACCTCCAACTCTCCTCCTACCAGCCAGTCCCCACTCTCGACGATGATCTAATCACAAGGAATATTAGTTTAGCTTTCAAATTTCAGGATTGACGTAGCAGTACTTTCAATTACAACAATTAATGCTTGCAGAACAATAATTACAGCTGTAAAGTGGACTGGACATGTGCCCTTCCTATGAGAGATGCTTTTAACTGTCAGGATAGGTTTTTAATTTATATTAGGTCTGATCAAGGGCAAGGCTGAGTGGTCTAAAGTGTTGTCTCTGTCTTCCTGACCAGGAGAGTGATCTATGGATCAAAAGTTTAAATCCTGCCTCAGGTCTGGTGTACCACTCATGAGGAATAATTTTATCTCGCTGTGATACATAACTCAGTGGGAGAGAACCCGTGAGAACATCGTAAAAGTGGGCATAATCAAATCTATGACAACTGTGAAGGGCGCTTGAGTCCTACAGAGGCGGTTCCAAGGAGGGGCTAAAGGGGTCCGCCCCTTGGATCCTGAAAAGAAATTAAAACAAAAAATAAAAAGCTTTTGGATATAGTTCTACATGTTAAGAATGGCTTTAAGTCACTAAACGGCTTCAAAACTACCAAATTTTCCAGGGGTGGACCCCTGAACACCCCTCTTTTTTGGGGGTGTCGGACACCCCGTAGCTCTACCCCCTTGACAAGATCCCAGAACCACCACTGTTTGGTTAAAAAACGAGCATATTGCCACTAATCTTTCCAGATTAGTTGATCTTTCCAGAAACAATCATTTATTTCTTAAATAATTATTGTGATTGCCATTTATATTAGTTTTCTTACTATGCATTTGCCTACCCCATAGACCTCGGGCCTGTGAAACGAATCCAGTAGAGCAAGGGGTGAGTTAATACAGTACAAGGGTGGTACAATGGATACTAGAAAAATACCTGTATGGATCATAAACATAAACAAATGACGTTTTTGGCCCAAAAATAAACATGATTCAACATTGCTTAAATGTAACTGCCAAAACATATGTTCAATGCTATTAGTATAGGATTCGGGCCAACAACGTCATTTGTTTGTGTTTATGATCCATACTGGTATTTTTCTAGTATTCGTGGGTGGTACTGATGAAAAGTAGTGGTAGATACCAGGATTCAAACCAACAATATTGATGTCTTGGGCCCAAAGTCTGTGGCTCTACCAACTGAACCGCCGACTCACCAATGATTTGATGTTGTATTCACCAAAGATTTCATCATATTGGATATACAGTGTTAGCAAAACGGGAGTGCCGATGGAGACCAGGTCAAGTCCCTTCAAACGCACGCACCCCCACAGGTCTCCATCGGCACTCCCGTTTTGCTAACACTAATGTAAGGAAAACCCACCTTGATATATGGATGGCCAGTGTGGCAGTACAATCCAAACTGGCGAGTGACTCTTTCTTCTTTGCGATGTTGGTAGAACTGAGGCCCCCTCAGGATTGCCACTACGGTGTCTTTGTACTTCAGACTGAAAGCTGGAGCTCCATCAAGCCTCTCCTTGTCTTTGGTACAGACTGGCAACACGATGGCAATAGACTGGTTGATGTCTCTCCCCAAGACATTGAAATGAATACACTGCAAACAAAATACCATGTAGTTTGTGGTTTTGGATTTATAGACATTTCAGATTTGAGAAATAATAAATATATAGTTGGTACAAAGGAGTTGTGCGCTTTTTTACTAGTACAAAATATGTTTTGGTATGAAGGAATTTTTCCTGACGTTACAAAAATTAAAATAAGAACTATATAAGCATAATGAATGGATTAATTTTGGATTGAATCAGTCTAAGATAGTTTCAAACTATTTTGTTTTAGGAAATATTTTTTTATTTTCCAATCCAGATGGGGACGAACTGGGCGTATTTTAAACCAAATATTAATAGAGGAGTGGTGTAAAACTAAGTGAGATGCCTTGTGTAGTTTTGTTAGGGACTCAAGACTATATTTTCCTTTAGCCAGGACAATTTATTACAATCCCAATAGACAGAGCTGTTAAAAATAATATCATAATTTTTAATAATCCAGAGCATGGATGAATTTGGAGGCTTTTATTTAATCCATCACGTTTAGTCAGATTATGGTCATAATTTTAATTGTTAATCCGTATTAACTAGAAAACACGTCCACCAAATACTTGACAACCCTTATGTCAAATTCCAGAATGTTGTTTTTACCCAAAATTCTCTTTTACACCACAACTTTCAAATATTTCCTCAATTTATCAAAATTTATAGTTCTAACCCTTGATGATTGTGTATAGTGTGTAAATAAAGAAGACTTATTCTGATTCTAACCGTCAAGAACTGATTCTCCGTCATGAAGCCACGGAGAGGAGAGGCCCATCCCTCTGCTAACACCTGGATCCACTGTAAGTCTAGTGTGGTGATGTCAAGAGATGGTAGTTCAGAAGCCTCCTTGATTGCAGCAGCCTTCTGAGTTTCTGGTACAAACAACTCGACTACGGGCCGTTGTATTGAACACGCCATCTTGATTCTGTCTACGAGTTGTCTATAAGTTGGTAAACTTTTGTTCATGTTACTGGTTATTAGTGATAAACATTGTTAGCCTATTGATTGTGTTTGTAAAAAATATGTTAAATGCTTGTTGTACTGTCACAACTCATGTCTCAACATTTGCCGGATGTTAGCCTATTGATTGTGTTTGTAAAAAATACGTTAAATGCTTGTTGTACTGTCACAACTCATGTCTCAACATTTGCCGGATGTTAGCCTATTGATTGTGTTTGTAAAAAATACGTTAAATGCTTGTTGTACTGTCACAACTCATGTCTCAACATTTGCCGGATGTTAGCCTATTGATTGTGTTTGTAAAAAATACGTTAAATGCTTGTTGTACTGTCACAACTCATGTCTCAACATTTGCCGGATGTTAGCCTATTGATTGTGTTTGTAAAAAATACGTTAAATGCTTGTTGTACTGTCACAACTCATGTCTCAACATTTGCCGGATGTTAGCCTATTGATTGTGTTTGTAAAAAATATGTTAAATGCTTGTTGTACTGTCACAACTCATGTCTCAACATTTGCCGGCTATTCCACTCGTCTTCTAACTTGATTAACATTAGGTCAATTTTTTTTATGTTTTTGGGTTGTGTAAGTGTTTGTGACAACTCTTCATAACCCCAGAGACAAAAAGGATTTTTCCAAATACTTTTTAGTAAGATTTAAAAAAAATATTTGAAAGTACAGTAAACATATATTTAACAATTGTTTAAATGATGTTAACTTGAATTGGACGTGTTTTAAGTTGATTATAGATAAAGTCTGCGTTGCTAAATTCATTAGCTATTTTCTTCTGTCAGCTTACTTTACTTTTATTAAAATTATGGTTGTAGTAATAGTTAGTTACCATGAAGCAACTCCGTTGAACTTGAAATAACAGGACATAATTAAAAATTAAATATCTGAACAGGTGCATAGTGTATTCAAACGCCCAGTAAGCTTCCTTTATTTCAAAACTAAAAGTACAAAGTTGTGCACAATTTAGCCTTTACTAAAAACCAAATTTACTCATGTAAATTTAATAAAATATTATTAGTTATTACTGTGGGAAGAATAGTTGGTTTAAGAAAATAACCGTCAAAATTATTATTTTATTTAAGTTATTTAGCCCAGTTAAGTGTTGGAAAATTATTGCCCATCATATCTAAAATATAGAAACGTATATTTTCCTTTGAATTAAAAAGAACTTAATTAGACAAAAGGTTTCACTTAAGATTGCATAAAGTAAAACATAAAGCTACATTCCAACTTGTGAAAAGTGATATAACTGATTATATCTATAGTAAAAGTATTATGAATTTTAATCAATGCCTGGATATCATTTGAAATATCATGTATTAAGCAATTTTAGAAATGTAACAAGCATTGTTTATTTATTATTTTATTAAAGCAGTGAAAGAAAAATAAGGCCTACTTACAGAAACACAATACAGATGAGCTAAATTGTAAAATGAATAGAATGAATTAACCATTTGGCATAACTTAAATACTTGAACTGATCGATTAAAATATCAATAATGTTAAACATATCCGGGGCAGATTTAATAAGGTTATCTACACATCAACATGATGAAACTTCAAATTAACTATATTTTTTACAAAAGTTAACGTTTTTCATCGTGTGTTTGTTTACTATGAATAGGTAAACACTAACACACTCCATTCACTGAAATAATAATAATATCGAATTATCAACTTAATTTTATGCATTGAAAACTTATCAATGGGTTGAAAAGATTACTGTAAGCATAGACTTTAACTTTACAACGGTAAATTATATTACAACTTTGCAAGAGAACGGTTTGAAAAATGTATAAATGTTGCAGCATTGACTCTGGCTGGATACTCAAATATGCATCCCATTGAAGATACCAGTGGTATCTAGTTTTTTTTTTTTTTTTATACTAAAGAAAAGTATAGTTTATAAACCTACCTATTAAAGTAGAATTTTTTTCTATTAGTTTTTCTTTTCTTAGATAGTTGGATATGGTATTGCAAGGGGATGCTATTTAAGCAGTACTTATCCAGAAACTAAGCCTTTTATTTTGGCCACTTTTGGCGGAATTCATTTGCCTCAGTTTGTGAGCTATCAATTGAGATTGGGTGAAATGAGAAAAATGGTAAGTTACCAGTAGGCCTACCTATTGAAAACTCTTAGCCTTAGAGGTATTTTTTCCTACCTCAAAATAAGAGCTAATTTAGACGTACCTCTCTTATACATACAAATACACTACCGATAAGGCCTTATTCGGCTTTAACGAGCCAAAATAGCGAGTTTCTAATATTTTGACAAATAATTTTGAATACTATCTTATTTAGGAAAAAAATTTTGTTAGTAACACATTACATCCAGAAATATCTTTCGATAGAGGGGTAAGAATCAAAACACAAAATTGTAACACAGAATAAAAAAGTATTTAATGAAAATACAGTAACATATGATAGTTTATGCCATCGCTAAATATGCTAATATTCAAAACCAAACCAAAACTGTGTTATGAACACTTAAAAATACAATGTGTCTGCGGAAGGATTAACACATTTCCACAAGTATGAGCCAGTGAAATTTAAAAAAAGGAAAGCCATTGTTTTCAATTTATGATTTTGGCAAAATATATTCAAGGACCAGCTAAAAATATATTTTACACTGAAAGTAAAGTAAATAAGTTTTCATCCCCTTTTTGTGTAAGGGATTTTCAACGTAGTAGCTTCAATATTATTTGAGTATAAAACGATTTCTTTTCCAAAATATGACAGTAATGAGTAATACCAATTGTTATTCTCACCGACTCATTTTACAAATAAATAAAAAGTAAAACTACAAACACTACCTAACTAAAAAGGTCTAAACTGGAAAAATTCAATTTTAGGCCTTGGTTCGGAAAATTAGGCCTATAGGATCTTGGAAAAAAACAAAGATATTTTGTAACGAAACAAAATTGCAAAACTCAATACAAGACTAGTCAATACACAAGTAATCATATAAAAAAATCAAACATATAAAAAACAGTTGAATATGGTTTTATCCTGAAGGAAACCACACAATAGAAATCCTGAACACATTCACTTAAACCTGAATAAAACTGATCTTAATGAAAGAGAACACTTTATTCTCATTTTGGAATACTTCAATGTGCACTTATAAAACTAAACATTTTACAAAGAGAACACTTTGGTCACATACCACTGTGCACTTAGGAAAAGTCCTATTTTACTCAAGTTGGGTGATGGTGATGAAGATCGGAATGATCTGGTGGCAACAATCAGAAGGTCGGTAAAGTTGAGCCATGTCTATGTTGATGCTGAAGTCATCTCGTAAACACAATGGTTGACCTTGCTTGAGTGTGTCCACGTGAGTCGTACGACTGTAAGACAACTTACGGAACGGACTCACTCTCTGTTTCAGTTGGAAAAGGTACTCGAACTTGTCTGCCTTCTCTCTAGAGCCAACGTAGACCACGCAACTGAAATGATAAATTGTTTCTTATCGTTAATTGTTGAGGTGTTATTTCTTAATGTTGTTTATTGGTAAAGAGATTATTGATGTTAAGAAAAGACTACATTTTGTACAAGATATCTTCACCAAATACGATATGTAGAGACATAGAATTAGCCTCATTATTTCAAGGTCATACTATCAAGGTGTGACTTTGTCATTTCAAGCTCACAGATCACTTAGCCACTTGAAGAAAGTCAGTGATGTTTATCTGATAAAAAAAAACTTAAAATCCGTGAATTATTTGTTGTTGTTAGTTTTTGATTAAGATTTAACAAAGCCAATAAAATCCACATTTATATGACATTGGCAGGGCACATTAGCCACTTGAGGTTTAATAGTCTATTCTGGCATTAAAAAATGGCATGAAAACATTTAAAATAAATTGGTTCAGTTTCAAACCTTTCAAAGATTTCAAAATATTCTACTTCTCCTGACAAAATGAACAAGCTCATAGTTCTTTCTCAAATTTAAACTATAGTTTATATTTTAAAATTCACAGACATGTGGTCAAATAAATATGGTCGGATGGAACTTACCCTTTCATAATCCTTTTGAAGGTATCAACATTGAACACCACATGAAACACTTCATTGTGAGCGGATTGAATCCAATCGTGGACGACAAAACCTGAACCTCCGATGATGCCACTGATGGGTACAAGAAGCTCCTGCAAAGGTGCATTGTAAACGTAAATAAACGGTATCAGCATTCTGACACATACTTTCTCCCATAAGTTTGTCAACAACCTTTATCATGTGTAAGCGGTGAGAGTAAATATACGGAAATGGGATTTGTACAATTTTGTTCAGAACTTAAAGGTATATAACATGTTAAATTTTGATCAAAATTGTTCTGGCCGTTTTTGGGAAAATCCGATTTTTCTGTTATTTAAAGGGGGTTTTTTGGAAAAATGACATAATTTACAATAACTTTTGAACCAAAATTTTTACAGAAATTATATTTGTACCATTTTGTTCAGAATATAAAGGACTATGACAGACAACATTTTTATCAAAATTGTTCGGGCCATTTTTGGGAAAATCCTATTTTTCCGTTTTTTTATGGGGTTTTATGGGAAAATCCCTATTAAAAATAAAAATTTCTAAAAAAATTTAAAAAAACTATCAAAATTGTAAGGACTATAACATACTATGTTAAATCAAACCCGTATTTTTTTCTAAAATCCTATTTGTCGTTATTTTATGGGTTTTTTATGGGAAAATAACATATTTGACCATAACTTTTGAACCGTAATTTTTACAGATATGGGATTTGTACCATTGTATTCAGAATTTAAAGGGCTACAACATACTAAATTTTTATCAAAATCGTTCGGGCCATTTTTGAGAAAATCCGATTTTTCCGATTTTTTATGGGTTTTTATGGGAAAATCCCCATTAAAAATCAAAATTTCGAAAAAATGAAAAAAACGCCTGGAGATACCATAAATTAGAACCTACATACCAAATTTCATCGAAATCGGACCACAGGTGTTGTCTCTAGCTCTGTACACATCCAGACACACAGACACACACACACACACACACACACACACACACAGACATCACTTCGAAAACCACTTTTTTGGGTCCAGGGGGACCCAAAACAAATATATCCACTCAAAACTCAAACTCGAAAATTTTGACGAAAACAATACTTTCTCCATATACTATGGTATAGGGGGAGAAAGTAAAAGTTAAGAACTGTTATGTTAGACTTAGTATTAGGCGTGCTAACCCAGCAGACAACCAAGAGAGCGTAGGCACATTCCCTGTGTGGTACAAATTTGTAATTTGTATTTTTAATTTAGAAAAAAGTGCTTTATTATTTAATTTTATAGTAATATGTTAACGCACCTGAGTAGCGCCTGTGATCAGTTTGTCCGGATGGCTACTCTGCAGGTGAACCACCAGTTCAGGCTTGTAGCCTTTCCAGCTGCAGGCGTCCACAATGCAGGCGTAGTGGCGGAACCCGCAGCCGTCTTCATGCGCCTGTTTGTCATTGAGTTTCAACATCATTGTGCAGCCGGTCACCGTGTTCTTGCAAGGGTACATCAGTTTCTCTGCCACCTGAAAAATCACATTTGAAATATAATAGTGTGGTTTTAAAATAGTTGAAAAACGTAGGAACAGAAGACTGCAAGCACAGACTTGCAGTCTATTTTGGGAAACATTTTTGATCAAGTGTAATTGTTAGGCTTGTGTTTTTAGTTTTTTTTTTTTTTTATAAACAGTTTTATTATTTTATTTACCTACAGGAAATAACGGTAAATAAAATCAAGGTATATAAACAAAGGACTTACTGCTATACATTTGACAAACAATATCAAGTAGGTAGTAAATCAGATTTTTAACAAATTTGAAATTTTCAGAGTTATTAAATTGTTATTATATTTTACTCTACACTGTTTTATCATAGGCTGAGGCTCTTCGACTAAACATACGGTATTTAAGTATGATAAAATGGTAGGGAGAATAAATATTATTTCATATTCTAGCCTTCAAAGAATTCATCTAAGGTTTTGCCCTAAAAAGATTTTATTGGTTGGAAATGTGTCACCAATGGAATTTACAGCTTAACTGAATGATTCAAACTGGTCTTAAACTCAGTTATAATCAATTAACTAACAAGTAATTGAAAAATCTAATGTGTAAACAGGAGTAAAATTAATCAATAGCTTACCATAAAGTATGTCCAGAAAAACACTTAAATTGCAGATTTTTTTTAAATAGGCCTAATTCAGAAAGTTCTGAGCTAGTTTGATAGCAACATAAAGACAAGTTTACTCTAGTCACTAAACAGATGGTTGATCGTTTCACAATCAGCTGATAGTATTAAAGACAGTGCCTTGGCAAATAATTATTGGGTGATGTTTAAATTCAAAGGCCCTAATTAAAGTTTTAAGTTCAGTATTTTTAAGTTATCTTTTTTCTTAGCATTTTAACAGTCAAGAATGCAGAAAAATCTTGCAAAAGTTTACTTACTTACTTAAGCGTTTCAAAAATAGGTCCTCTTTTTTTAAGTTTATTGGTGTAAAAAAACTATGTGTATTTATTTTCTTCTAAAACTAGGAGTGACATATTACATAGTGTAGTGTATCATCTAATACACTTGCCAAACATGTTTGGACAAAATAAAACTGTTTTTCTAGATGTCTAACTGATAGAATATGACATTGCCAAATAGGAAGTTTTACAGATTTTTGTGGATATTAATATTTTTCATTGGACATTTGTAAGGCTAAATTTATCAGAATAGTATTCACCAACCTTCTCCATTACACTATTGCGGTCGCCTGGCAGACGTGATCGACACATGGGACACAACGTGAGACGAGGATGACAGTTCTGACACAAGATGTGGCCTTTCATACACTGGTAGATGGGAGGAGTAGCGTGGTCTAGACACACTGGACATTCCAACAGAGCTACCAGTGATTGGTTTAGTTCTGGCAGTGTCATGGGCACCTCACTGCTACCACTAGACCTGTACACGACACAAGGTTCACAAATGTGACAAAAACAAAATGTCAAGTGTTATTTGTGTGACCTATTTTCCTGTACTAATGAGCACCTGGGCTCTGATTTTCTCAGTTGAACTAGCTAAACTCCATCTCTTAATTATTTGCTAAAACCTTACGTACAAGTAATCTGACAGTAACTTACTGCGGCTTGTCCACCCGAGGCGCTGGAGGGATGGCAGCACTGGTAGGTTGGAGGGGTGATGCCCTGGTGGGAAGGGGGAGAGGGGAGGGGGAGGGGCTGCGGCTGGAAGGTACAATGTCAGGACTGTCCGGCAGTGCGGGGCGCTCTGGGGTCTCCACAACAATCACGTCGTCATTGGACTGTTCCATCGGCTCTCCTGAAAAAAAAATATGTTAATAAATTATCCCACCTAATAGCATTTAATCTAGGTTATGGGAAAGAGCTAACCCACCTGGTAAAGGACATAAGGGACAATTCTTTGTCATTCAATTGCAGACAGTCTTATGACTGACCTGTTCCCACTTATGTTTAGGAGTTACACTCCCTCATGCCTATAGTTTAATAAAACCTTTTCTTTATGGGAAATCTGAATACTACAGCCTACTGTTTATCAGGGATTCTACAAGTTCAAGAATTCTCATAAGTAGACAATTTAAGATTTTGTCATGAGATTGGAAGCATCTTTTAAACTTTGCATTCCTGTATCTACATGGGTCTCAGAGGCATAAGCATGGAATGAATCCGAGGAAAGCAATCTTTCAATCTGTCAATCTTTAACATCAACACCCCAAACATAAACCCACAACCCAACATTTGCTCTGCAAGCCGTTATACTAGAAAACTTTCAAGAAAGATTTTGTGTCTTTTACAATCATTGAAAACAGCCTTGTACTATTCTTACGACACAATGTGAGACATAAATGTGGTATAGTTAAGTAACTGTGTACATTGTGGTAGTTAACCACGTTGGAAATGAATAAATATCAATGTAATATACACACCAGGTTCTACAGGGTCCAAGTAAGAGTTGATCTCGCTGATGATGGAGTGAGCGTGACGATCTATGATGTCAGCTGTGCTACTACTTTGCTGGTCCAACAAAGAGCTTCGCTCCAGCGGCACAGTGACTGGCGGAGATCTGCACATTACATTTAACAATTCTTCGGTGATAACGATGGTGTTACAATCATGGAACATATTCATGACAACATTGTGATAAATGTATGTTACACCAAATTTATGTTTACTAAAGCTAGCACTGCTTTTATATTGGTAACCATATAATTTTAAACCTATACAGTATGAACTTTGGGGGGGGGGGGGTTGAAAGGTAGTGAAATTGTAAACTATATGCTTGATGAGTTTTGTTCAAGGAAAGGCTCTCTAGGCCAGGATTTTGAATCGTAGAATGAGGAGGATAGCAGCTGGCTTGCCTTGAAAAAGTGTAGGTAGGCCATAAAACATACAGAAGAGACACTGTGCACATAATATTTCGTCCCCTGAGGGACTGGGGAAAAGAACACCCAGGGGACAAAATAAGCTAGCTGCTATCCTCCTTATTCCATAAGCTTCATAAACTTGTGTTGCTGGCATTTAAATTTTTATTTTTTTTCATTGGCCTAGTTCATTTATTACGTATCACTATCTCATGTTTTTAAATATGTTGAACAGACCAGATAAAATATCACCCTTCATCTACTCAAATTTACCAACACAAATTTCTTATTAGAATCAAACTCATCCCCTGCAGTCTCCTATTTATTCAATACCTTTTCTGGTATTTGTCTTACCTTGGGTTTTCACTAGACTGTGAGGATGATGGGTAGTTAAACAAGAAGTTTCCGACCAGATCACAATAATCGTCAAGAGACGGAGTATTTCTAACACTGAAACAAATGCCAAATATTATATTTCACAGCCATTATGGAACTTGTTACTATACACAACGATTTGGTCAGTTGTGAAAAGTAGGTAATGCTTTAAAAAGCAGTTACAGCACTTCTTACACAAGGTTTCATTGTTTCTTGGTTCAATGATCAAGTGCCTTTTATAATCCCTAATGTTAAAAAAGTTATTAATATAGTTTGTACACTCTCTATAACTCAAAGGGGCATGTTATAATTTATACTTGCACCATAAAGTCAAAAACTACAATGTTTGCAGTCTCAGAGGGTCAAAATCCCATTGAGTCAAATAATAAAGTCACTGCTGAAAAACGTAGTCTCTGTTAAAGCAATTGACACATTGAGATTTTGATCTGATGCAACAGCAGTTTTAATAAGACGAAATATGATAAATTACACAATTTTACACCAGTAAAAATATAACTAAAACAAAATACCTAAATGTAAAACTGACGGTTGATTTACCTGGCAGATATAGATGATGAGGGCAATGAAGATGGTTGTATCAGGGAAGCTGTTTCATTGGCAGGACCATCTGAGTACCTTGGTACCTCCAGAAATCTGTTGAAAAGTACACTTATATTATTGCTTTCATACAATAATGGCAAGATTACGTGTTTAACACGTTGGGTGCTGATGACGGGAATTCCCGCCATTGCTTAACATTGAAATAAATGCAATTTTCATGTTCAAACATGTCAAGGGCACTTTAAGTGTTAAAGGACTTTTTAAGATTGTTAGTAGCCTTTTTAGATTGAAAAATGTATCAAACTATCGACCAATATCTGTGCTCCCTGATATCTCTAAGATGTATGAAAAAGCAGTATACATTCAATTTTCCAAATTTTTAGAACAATTTAATCTTTTATATGATAATCAGCATGGATTTCGGAATGGAAGATCGGTTGTGAGTGCTGCTGTATCTTTTATTGAAACTGTAATTGAGTCGGTTGACAAGGGAAATGTACAACTGGTATTTTTATGGACCTATCTATGACATTCGACAGTGTTAGGCATTCTACTCTACTTGAAAAACTTCAAAGACTAGGAGTAGCAAAACAAACTCTTAATTGATTTACGTCATATCTCACTGAAAGATCTCAATACGTAGAAATAACTCACTTGACAAATTACAATATAATTATTAAATCATGCTCAACTTATAAGCCAATAGTTTTCGGGGTGCCACAAGGCTCAATATTAGGGCCCCTGCTTTTTTTGTGCTATCTATGTGGAATGAAAGATTCTTTAATATATAATAAAAATTCAACACTATGTCTGTATGCTGATGACTCGAATTTGGTAATATCATCCAACTCAATAGAGCAAACAGAAATGTTCGCTTATGTAGAATTGGAAAGTATTGGAAATTGTCTTAATAACCACAACTTGATGATGAATTTACAAAAAAACTAAATTTATAAATTTTAAGCCAAAACAAAATAGACAGAAGGAGCAACAACAATAAGCTATAACTTACAAAATATTGATGAATAAATTAGTACAAATTTTTTGGGTTTAACACTAGATCAGCACTTGAATTGGGATAAACATGTCCAGAAATTTTAAGTAAAATTAATTCCGGAATTCATGCTTTATCAAGTATGTCTTTTTACTGTGATTTAAAAACTTTAAAAAATATATATTTTGCACATGTGCATTACATATCACGTTTGGCATAGCACTCTACGGCTCAACAAAAATATGTAATCTAGATAGCATTTTAAAGGAGCAAAAAAGAGCGGTTAGAATCATGCTTAAGCTGCAGCGTGATGAGTCAGCTAAAGAGCATTTTAAGGATCTAAAAATCTTAACTGTTTACGGGCAGTATATATATGAATCAATAATAATTGCAAAAAAACAAGAAGTATATTCGGAACCAAAAGAAAAATCCCATTCTTATAATTTAAGAAATAAGAACGAAAATGTACAACCACACAGGACTAAATTTTTTGAAAAGAAATCATCCTATGCAGGTAATAGATTTTTTAAATTTATTCCAAAAAATATTAAAAAAGAAACAGATCCAAACAAATTTTAAAAAAATTAGGGATGGACGGGTCCCGAAATTTCGGGAATTTTTCGGGAAAAAAATATTCCCGATTATCGGGACGGGATTACATTTGACTTGGGAATTTTTCGGGACGGGATTTGGTCCGATCGTCGGCGATTTTTCCGCTTCGCGAGTGCCGATAACGCCGTTATTGCGAGCGATAGGTCCGCGAACGCAGGAGACGAAGTCATACCGACGATCGCGCCGTGACCGCGGAGTCCTACCGGCGATCGCGCCGTGACCGCGAGTCATACCGACGATCGCGCCGTGACCGCGAGTCATGACGACGATCGCGCCGTGACCGCGGAGTCATGCTGACGATCGAGCCGTGATCGCGAGTCATACCGACGATCGCGCCGTGACCGTGAGTCTTACCGACGATAACCCCGTGACCGCGGAGTCATACCGACGATCGCACCGTGACCGCGAGTCATACCGACGATCGCGCCGTGACCGCGAGTCATGACGACGATCGCGCCGTGACCGCGAGTCATGACGACGATCGCGCCGTGACCGCGGAGTCATGCTGACGATCGAGCCGTGATCGCGAGTCATACCGACGATCGCGCCGTGACCGTGAGTCATACCGATGATAACCCCGTGACCGCGGAGTCATACCGACGATCGCACCGTGACCACGAGTCATACCGACGATCGCGCCGTGACAGCGAGTCATGACGACGATCGCGCCGTGACCGCGAGTAATGACGACAATCGCGCCGTGACCGCGGAGTCATGCTGACGATCGAGCCGTGATCGCGAGTCATACCGACGATCGCGCCGTGACCGTGAGTCATACCGATGATAACCCCGTGACCGCGGAGTCATACCGACGATCGCACCGTGACCACGAGTCATACCGACGATCGCGCCGTGACAGCGAGTCATGACGACGATCGCGCCGTGACCGCGAGTCATGACGACAATCGCGCCGTGACCGCGGAGTCATGCTGAAGATCGAGCCGTGATCGCGAGTCATACCGACGATCGCGCCGTGACCGCGAGTCATGACGACGATCGCGCCGTGACCGCGGAGTCATGCTGACGATCGAGCCGTGATCGCGAGTCATACCGACGATCGCGCCGTGACCGTGAGTCTTACCGACGATAACCCCGTGACCGCGGAGTCATACCGACGATCGCACCGTGACCGCGAGTCATACCGACGATCGCGCCGTGACCGCGAGTCATGACGACGATCGCGCCGTGACCGCGAGTCATGACGACGATCGCGCCGTGACCGCGGAGTCATGCTGACGATCGAGCCGTGATCGCGAGTCATACCGACGATCGCGCCGTGACCGTGAGTCATACCGATGATAACCCCGTGACCGCGGAGTCATACCGACGATCGCACCGTGACCACGAGTCATACCGACGATCGCGCCGTGACAGCGAGTCATGACGACGATCGCGCCGTGACCGCGAGTCATGACGACAATCGCGCCGTGACCGCGGAGTCATGCTGACGATCGAGCCGTGATCGCGAGTCATACCGACGATCGCGCCGTGACCGTGAGTCATACCGATGATAACCCCGTGACCGCGGAGTCATACCGACGATCGCACCGTGACCACGAGTCATACCGACGATCGCGCCGTGACAGCGAGTCATGACGACGATCGCGCCGTGACCGCGAGTCATGACGACAATCGCGCCGTGACCGCGGAGTCATGCTGACGATCGGGCCGTGATCGCGAGTCATACCGACGATCGCGCCGTGACCGTGAGTCTTACCGACGATAACCCCGTGACCGCGGAGTCATACCGACGATCGCACCGTGACCGCGAGTCATACCGACGATCGCGCCGTGACCGCGAGTCATGACGACGATCGCGCCATGACCGCGAGTCATGACGACGATCGCGCCGTGACCGCGGAGTCATACCGACGATCGCGCCGTGACCGCGAGTCATACCGACGATCGCGCCGTGATCGCGAGTCATGACGACGATCGCGCCGTGACCGTGAGTCATACAGACGATCACCCCGTGACCCGCGAGTCAAAAGGTACTATAGGTACCTGTAAATTGTTACCCATTTTTTGGTTTATATAGATCAGTGCCACAAATGGTAAAAATTGATTTAGTATGTCTTTTTTGGTAACTGCAATACAGTACTTTCTTTTTATGCACAGAAAAAAATCCCGTCCCGTCCCGTCCCGAAAATCGGGAAGGAAATAAAAATCCCGTCCCGTCCCGTCCCGAACTAAAAATTCAATCCCGTCCATCCCTAAAAAAAATATTGAAAGAGTTTTTAATAAATTTAGCAATTTATTGTTTTGACGATTTTTTTACCTCCCTCAGTTGCTATGATAGTTGAAATTATCTTACTAGATTTGTAAAATGTATTTGTTGTTTTTATAACCATTACTCATGTTTTGCTGTTTTTTATCCTGTTGAACTATTTTGACACTATTTTTATTGTAATTATTTTGACACTATTTATTGTACAATGTACATAAAAACAAATAACATATGAGTAATATTTGGGTTAAAACAACTTTGAAATAAAGATATTTATTGAATTGAAGTTACACCGGCGTACTGTACGTCCCAAACGTCCAGAACGTCCAGTACGCGGTCTTTCCACACCGCCCAGCAACGTACCAAACGTAACCTCACTTGCTGTATTTATTTTACCGGTGCAAGGATATCTTTTCCGCAGGTTCCTTAGTGTGGAACCGTGTTTACTGTTCCATGGATGATCGAACTGAGTGATAGTGATAGTGATGACTTAGTATTATTACACTTGTTAACAAAAAAGAAATAAATGGATTCATCACATTAATGCAAACGGAAGAGTTTTGGAGAAAACCGTAATTTGATGCGTGATCCATGCTCCAGCTGGATATAACTTAGATAGATTTAGAACATATTTTCGATTAACTCCAGATTAAATGTAATGTAAATAGTAAATACTTTTTTACTAAGGCAAACATTATGACCATATAACCCTTTCTTGCAAATAACCTCTCAGATCAGTTTGAAGAAGTATTGTCAAACACAAGTACCAAAATCATGACGTGGGAGCGGAGCGCGTGGTTTTAAGTGTTCACAGCGTATGCACTAGGCCATGGATGTTTGAGAAAAATAGCTCCCCGAGGAATGCACTGAAAGCCGTCTCAGACGTCCAGAACGTCCTGGACGTGCGGTGTGAACGGTCTCATTTGATAGCATGGGAAGCATTTAGTTTAAACAAAAACGTACCAAACGTGTTGGACGCTGGTGTGAAAAGGCCTTTAAGCTAACCTTGTGTCAATAAATGGGATTAATTGTATAATTTTGTAACTAGGCCTAACTTGAGTTTTTTTAACTAAAGAGTTTTTACCAATACTAATCTACATTAATGGAACACACATAAAAATTGTGGTATATTATTAATACAACAAACCAAAATTGAAACACAACTTAAATGAAATATTAAACAAGCTTACCTAACATATTTCCTTCTTCTGGGCTAAAACAGATCATAAATTGCATTAATTTTCATTACACTCAGTCTAATAGATTTGTTTTAATGTGTACTAGATAAAATTGATAAAAAAAACAGAAGATAAGCATCTAAGTACAGTAGTCGCAGCTAGTCTGGGCGCGCGGCCGCGCTAGGGCGGGGGGCGTAGAGGGGAGTGTTTATTGCTCATTTCCAAAAACATCTGGCCCACACGGCTCTCTGGGGTTGTTCAGCGAGGCTGTGGGGGTGAGCGAGTCGTTACTCTCAGCACGGCTAGTACACAAGGGTCCGCGCGCCCAGACTAGCTGCGACTACTGTAAGTGTAGGAATTGAACCAGGTAACCACTTCCTTTGTCCCACATATTACATGCAAAGGAGAAGTCTATGTTGACAAGCAACTGCAAAGTTAAATAGTTTTTAGTTGTTCTATCTATAGACAGTCAAATATCGTTGCAAGGTCACATGAGCAATCCAATGGTGATTGCAGTGAAGAGAGTGCAAGGGTTAGGCTTAAGCTTATAAGATGCTACCATTAAGGTACCGTGGTTGGTCTAGCTAAGCAGGGTGTCCAACGTTCCATCAAAATAAAATTAAAGGACAATTCTAGGTTTTCCAGGTTCAAAATTTCCAGGGCAAAGCTTGACGATCAAATACGCAAAACTTACTTCTTTATTTACACCTGCAAGTACAATTCAAAACCCTTTGGTGAATTAATTCTGTGATGATTTATTAATTTTTTAAGATAGCAGCAATATCGGTGATCTTATTTTTCGATCAAGGCAAAATTTGTGAGGATTTCCAGCAATCGCGGCAACATCCTTGATGATATCCGGCGATTCAGAAACTGTGTGGTGAATTTAGGTAATCGCGGCAAACACCTCTGGTTATTTCCCACGAATGCAGAAATAAGTGTGATATGATAATATAATTTGCCACAACCAAGGCAACACCCGTGGTGAGTTTTCACAATCCATGGTCAATACTTGCAATCGTGGCAAAATCGGTGATAATTTCTCTAGATCACGGTAACACACGTTACGCCTATAATGTCTTTCGATTGCGACAACATCCGTTTATCTTCACAATGATCATCTCAACTCCTTAGATTATTTCTCTTCATTGCTGCATAACTGTGATAGAATACCAAAATAGTAACAAATTCTGGATTTTTTTTTGCGATCACGGCCAAATCTGAGATCATCTTTGCAATCACAGCAAAATTCACGATGATATCCGGTTATCCGATTAATATCAGTGATGATTGCCCATTATTGTGGCAAACCCTGTGATATTTCTTGCGATCGCAGCAATGTCTGCTAAATGCTATAGTTTCCCGCAATGGTGACTTGTAACCATCCCAAAACCAAAAAAATTGGCTACTTCGGGCAGATTTTTCTATGATTATTCAAACATTTAAATTTCCTGGTTCTTTACCAAATTCAAAGATTTTTTTCACTTTTATGAACATTTTGGTTCAATTCCCGAATTCCAGGACGACTGGACACTCTGCTGAGTTAACACTGAAAGAAAATATTGAATGAGCAAGTAATGTTCATACTGCTTTTGCAGTCATTGAAGTGGTATAAAATCAAAAAACTAGAAGAACATACCTGTAAAATGCTTGTTAAATCACACCTTCAGTACCTCAGCTTACCTACTGTTTACTCTTTAAACTACACATGTTGGGTAGAATACTTACAGGAGTTGTGCCAGTTGAACACATTTCATCAAACTGTCTCAGGATAGAAGAACTGTTGGTTGACGACTGGCTGTTACGTGTAGGAATGTATTGTGGAGCGTTGGTTCTGAAATTACAGGACAATAACTGAACCAGAGATACAAATGGAGGCAGCACAGAGTGAAAGAATTGCAATATGTTGACCAGCTTTTATAATGGGGGCTGAAGTACATTGTCTTTGTATAACTAAACTAGGGGATAGCGAGTACACACATAAAGCCATGAGCCAATGAGCAGATTCCCCCAGTTGGTACCAAATTGAAGTGTCAGTGCTACCTCCAGTTATATTCCTTTCCTAGCTCAGTGAGGACAGTGTGTAAATATTAGGGTGAATAGAATTTTTTTGCTTAAAAAATAACTTTATGTTGATGTCTATCCAATAATATATACGGTTAGGTTTGTTGAAAACGTTAGATGAAGTTTCCACTTCCAAACACTAAAAATTGAATTACAGATTGTTTTGTATAAATTGTTATTTAGTTTGTCAAAATACCTCGTTATTTTTTATTACCAAATTTCAAGTTTTTTTTTTATTTTTTATTACTATTTCAAACTATTAAATAACAATAATTTCAATACATGAGTTATTTTGAGTTTTATTTCTGAAAAACTCCAATTATAATTTAACAATGTAGCAATTAAGGAGCAATTGCAGATATTTTCTATCAGAATTAGTAAATACCCCCGCCGCAGCAAACATACAGACTTAGCGAATTTCTATTTGCCTAATTGGATTTAAACTAAAATGTCTCCTTAAAAATATCACATTTATTCCCTATTTAAACAGAATTAGTTTAATGAGTACTTAGGTTTGCTGCAACAGGGAGGGTAAAAAAGTTTTTTTTAATGTAAAATGTTAAAAGGTACTGTGGTTTAATAAGAAATTAATGTACTTTCCAAATTTGATCAAAATATGTTCATAAACAAGCAAACTACAACAGTTGACTTATCCTCCATAAGAATAACATGGGAATTTTAAAATTAAAATTTTTTTGAATTTTCTTCGTAACAATTAGGCGCATAATAACGCTTCAATATACTAAATTATTTGTTTTTTAAGCTCTACAAAATGGTTTAAAAATAAACTGTGAAATTTTGTGTTTTTAGGGTCAAAAATGGGAAAACCCTATTTTTACCCCATAAAACCCCCCATAAACCCCCGTTCCCATAGTCCGATCATGCTGGTTCGCGAACTCATTCAAGTTTATCCCGCCTTACACCTTCAAACCAAATTTTATCAAAATCGGAAAAAAATTACTCAAGTTATCGTGCGGATGGACACATATATATATACAGAGTGTCCCGGAACTCTCTACTAATATTTTAGGGCATTGATCCAGGGTAAGAAACGTACCTAAATATCATATTCAAATTGTCCGGAAGTCCTTAGTTACTCACACAGCTGCCATTTTGTTTTTTCAGTTATTATTTTTTTTCTAAAGAACCGTTAAACATACGAAATGGAAACTTTGCACAAACATTTATGACAACTAGACAAAGCTACAAAAAAATTATGAAGATTTTTCAAATTCGTAAAACAAAATGGCGGCCATTTAAAATTTTCTTTCTTAAATAACTCAAAAACCAGTGATTTTACAAAAATTTTAAATGGCCACCATTTTGTTTTATGAATTTGAAAAATCGTGATAATTATTTGGTAGCCGCCAAATACAATACAATACAAAAAAACAACTATTTGTACAAATTGAGAGGAAATGAACACAGCTTTGATTGAGGCAAGCATTGTAGCAAAAATAATAAAATATGTAAACAAGCATATTAGCAAGTTATTATACCATCTGGTGCGAACCAAGTCCTATGTGTTCGCCTGCCCTCTACTTAAAATTATTGTTACCTACATTCACTGGTTTTTTTTTATTACTAGATATTTTACTTTTTACAGTTGATCTTTTATGATTCTCTAGTAGCCTATTAGCTTGTGTGTTAGGTACTTCATCTCCTGAGGACAACATAATAGCCTACTCAAGATCCCAAAACGTTATGAAAACTTGTTTTTAGTTATTGTGATGTAAGATTTCTACAATAATCCCTAGAATAACATAAACCAAAAATTAACTTGAAGCGAGGAATAAATGTAAACAAATAAATTAAACAAACCGAGAGGAGTAGAAGGAGCTGTGAGTAGTTTCCGGTGTGTTCGGAAGTACTGCATCTTGCAGACTAAAGCTGGAGGACACTACTGGGGGCGGAGGCGCAGCGGCAGAGTCTAAAATAGATCTTCATTTAGGCAAAATCAGGTTATTAGTTTTTTGTATCAAGGGATTGTAGGCACATTTCTATCTAAACTTGGCGAGTCGGAGGCTTTTTCCTCAAGTAAGTAACTATTTAAGACAATAATAACCAAGGACATGTGTACGTATGTAGGTCAAATTTAATAAAAGCTTACTGGATATCTAGGAGAATACTGTACCAGATTTAGACTATTATAAAATAAAGGTAGACCTTGATCTCCTTCCAGTGCAGACTTTACCCCAGATAATGTGACTTTACCAGATACCTAGTGGTTATATAGGTAATCAAGATTTTACAATACTAGCCTATGTAAATTAGTAGGCTTTTTCTGTTTATAAATTGTCAATAATTCAATAAATCTGCATCCCTCTCACCTCTGTTAGATATGGTGGGGTTTGAATCGTTGGGGATATTGAACCTCTTCAACTTGTAGGAGGAAGAGGAAGGCCTGATAGCGTTGGTTTGCCAGATGTCCCTCATGTTGCAGAAACTCTTGGGTCGGATCAAGTACTCTCCGGGAGGAAACCGCTCAGGCGATGTGCTGCTTCGGTCTGATGACAAAAGCAACATTTACATTTCCAAACATAAAAATTGATACCGTAAAATTAAGAAAAGAAATTCTCACTAAAAAGTTTAACTGTTGAGAAAAATTAGTAAGGCTTATAAACAGTAACAAGGGGGATGAGCTACAGGTACACAGTTAGGATTCACTTTACTCATCAGTCAGTGTAAGTCTTACCAAACTATGGAGGATCCAATAGGCAAATGTTGATTCGCCTAGATATTCGCATATTGAGTCTGATGATGATTGGAGTGTCCAATCATAATTGATCACCACTTACCATCTTTTAGCGAATTTCCCATATAGGGAATAAGCTATTACCGTAGGTCTCATGGTAAGACCTAGACCCGGGACCGATTTACTTTTTCGTTTTGAGGTCCCCAGAGGCCAAAAACACCATCCGTTCAAATTCATATATATATATATATATATTTATATATGTGTCCGTTAGCGCGATAACTCGAGCAAAATTGATCCGATTTTGATGAAATTTGGTACAAACGTGTAAACCTACATTTATTCGAACGAGTTCGCGAACCAGCATAATCGGACCATGGGATCAGGGGTTTATGGGGGGTTTTATGGGGTAAAAATGGGGTTTTCTCATTTTTGTCCCTAATAACTTTAAATTTCTAAATTTCTCTCTAGACCATTTTGAAGAGCTTAAAAAAACAAATAATTTAGTATATTGAAGTTTTTTTGAATGTTCATTGACTACAAAAAAATTTAAAAAATTGTAAATTTAAAATTCCCATGTTATTCTTATGGAGAATAATAAACTGTTCTAGTTTGCTTGTTTATGGATATATTTTAATCAAATTTGGCAATTTGGCTTATTTCATACTAAGCTATCAATATTTCAATTGAAAAAACACACCTCAACATCTTCCCCGTAGCAGCAAACCTAACTACTCACTAAAATTAATGTTATTTAAATAGGAAATAAATCTGAAAATTTATAGGGAATATTTTAGTAGAAATCAAGCCGGGTAAATGGAAATTCGCTTAGTATGCAGGTTTGCTGCGACGGGGGTATTTTAATATTTACTGTCTTCCTTGTGAGTAACAACAGTATAAATGAAATATATGTTTTTAGTGTCATAAGATGTTTCTTTTATTTACTTTCCGTAAATTTAATAACACATACAATGCTAATCAAGAAGAAATTTAAAAAATATTTTTTAAGTGTTGGCCTAATAATGAATTGGTAACAGATTACTCACTGTCGGTTATTTGCACACTCATCGAGCTGTTGGAAGAGATGAGTGTGTCAACGCTGTCGAAGATGACGGAGGCAGCAGACGATGTGGCAGATCGTTTACGCCGTACCACGTCCTGTGTTGACTGTGTGGAGGGACCCTCCCCCTCTGGCGATGGGCGCGATATTGGTGACAGAGTCACACGCAGAGGAGTCACTGGGGGTGTTGCTCCTGCAAAGTGAATAAAAATTAAAGCCGTACAAACATACATACAATGTATAGCAAATTTGTAAATACATCCATTGGTTAAAGTTGTTGGTTTTTCATGTGAAAAATACTTAACCTATAAATTTATAAACGTCTACATAGAGTGTTGGCAGGCCTATAGGCTATATGAATTGGTTTCTCAAACACCCAAGCTAATTTATTGGAAAGGAATATAATTGAATGTAAGTACTTCTCTACTGCACTAAAATGACTGATAGTACACCCTAGATAGTTAATTAAGCATCGCATATGTAGATTTATCTTGCTCTTGACCGAAGTCGACCAGAATATTTATATCAAAGAATGGGATTAGGGGGGCCTATTAGTTTTTTGCCAAAGTTTTACTCCGTTCACAGACTTTGGGCGGTTTGAGGGGAACTTCCCCACTACTTTTATACACCCATGCACATTAAGATACTTGAAAAACGTTCCCAGTTTGTGGCGGCACTGAAGAAGCTCTACTTTGAGCAGATGGTCTCGGCTGGCGTGTCCTAGACCTACTGTTTCTTTGCGCGTTTGCTAATGCGTGTATGCCAGAGTATGTAAATGAGTTTTATTTTAGTTTTTTTTGTTAAAATTGGCATGTCTTTTCTTCTTTTCTGAGAAAATGTACTTATATTGTTAAATATGTTTATGTTTAGTTAGATTGAGTAATCCCATTGCATTATTATTTCTATACATTTATGAATGTCAGGTTAAGTGTAAGAAAGGGCCATGTGGCCCAAACTTTGCCTGAAAAAAATAAACAAATTGCATTCATTCATACTTTTTTCCTTATGTTATATAAGGCACAGCTGATTGGTGTTTTTACAATCTCAGCTGTATCATTTTAAGTAGAGGGATAAATTTCTTCTAAAACCGCCTAATTTTGTGAACGGTGTATGGTCACAACATCAATACAGATGTTTAAACATAAACAAAACAGAGCTACCAAAACAAACTTTCTCATTAAAATTTTCAACTAACCACATTGTTATTTTATGACAACTTTTTTTTATTAACTGTCAACAATGTAGCTACATGCTTGATCATCATAATAGGCCTAGAGTAGATCTTTGATAGCAAATTTTCTTGGATTGTCAAAATAGACTTGTTGTCAAGATAGACTTTTAATCGAGGTTTGCAATAACTTTTGATTAAGGATAGCCCAATATAAAGTCAAAGGTATTTGAATATGACTCGTGTTATCAATGTGACTTTCTAGGGCCTTGTTATCGAGGTTCAAATGTAGGCCTACTTACGTAAACTGCCAATAGAGTTCTCAGTCGGAGCCACATTTCCAGCTGGACCGGATTGGCTACCAGATGAAGTTGAGGGTCCTGCATTACCATTCGTTGATTCCGACTGATAAATATTTGTAAAAGTTATTTGTATAGGAACTTCATTGTCGTTAGTTTCTGAAACAGACAAATCCACGAGATGTTAGCAGTATTATTTGATTTACTTAATTTACCAACTAAACAGTTACCGGCATATGTAAAGTCTTATTTTATTGAACCTAACCTAAGTTGCAGGATTGTACAACATTTATCAAATAGCATGGTGTTATAATTTAACAAGAATAACACAGCCATCATCTGTTGTAACTTTTAAATTATGCCTTTGTTTGTTTTGAGTAATAATCTAGTAGGCCAGCTTATGTTTTATCATAGACTAAGCAACACAACACAAGTAGACTCCTCATCCCATTGTAAATTTTGAAGCTTGTTTTTCGTGTCTAGTTCATGTACGTTTACACTGATCGCTGGGGTAGAGGAAATTTTGTTTCTATTATTTTAGGGTTATTTTCAAGATGTGTGCTTTACTTTGGTTATATAACTAGGAGACCAGTTATTGTTTATGATTATATCATTTTAGTTGGTTAAATGAGGTTTTGAATTACTGAAATAACAAGAAACAAATTGTAAACAAAACAAGAACTCTACAGTTGGACGTACAGGACTAACAATAAAATTGGCTTCAGCTGTTCAATAAGGATGACGGATCTACTAAGTTAAGGGAGTATAGTAGGCCTATGTTTTATCTATGGTTTTACCAACAAAGAAAATAGGCTACTGTAGGCTATTAAAATTACAATAGCTCAAACTTAGTTAAAATATAAATAGGCCTACTGTGCTCACTTAGTCGACCCACAAGAACAGTTGAAAAAACATAGCTCCACTTACCTGATTCCGAGTCAGAGCTGAATGAGGGACGAATGGGAAAACGGTTAGGATTAGACTTATGTCGAGAGGGTCTCTCTGGTCTTTCCATCCTCAAGGCTATCCACTTCTCAATTGTAACACACTAGGCTGCTGAATATTGGTATAAATTAATTCAGTAGGCCTAGTTGTTGAGATTCAGTAGTTTAGTAACTTAGTTTCTGTAGCCTTAAGTTACCTGTAACCAAAAGATGCCATTTCAGTTTTTTCAAAATTTTTGTTCATTTTGTGATGCCTTACTTTCATTAAGTAAATAACATGATAACTTATCATGTGCCTCTGCCTTACCAAACCAAAGTTCACAACATAAACACTTTATACTAAATTATTTGTTTTTTTAAGCTCTTTAAAAAGGTCTGGAGAAAAATTGATAAATTTTGTGTTTTAAGGGTACGGTAACAAAATTAGAAAACCCCATTTTTACCCCATAAAACCCCCCGTTGCCATGGGCCGTTCATGCTGTTTCGTGAACTCATTCAAGTTTATCCCGCCTTACACCTTCAAACCAAATTTTATCAAAATCGGACAAAAATTACTCAAGATATCGTGCGGATGGACACATATATATATATATCTAAATATATCTAAAGGCAAAGCCCTCACTAACTGACTGACTGACTGACTGACTGACTGACTCACTCACTCATCACTAATTCTCCAACACTGCAAACCTTTATTTCAAGAGCTTGGCATCCTGACAGTCTATAGGAACTATGTGTTGAGCTCCCTCCTCTACGTAAAAAGGAATTTAGCTGATTTTCAAATAAGAGGGCAACTTCACGGTCACAATCTGAGAAACAACAACCTGATCTCTATTCCCAGATGCCGCACTTCTAAAGTGAAGGACAGTTTCCCACTACTGGCTTGTAAGATGTTTAATAGACTGCCTGAGAACATTAAGAACCTGGATCCGAAACTGTTCAAAAAGAAGTTAAAGTCGTGGTGTTGCCAACAGAGCTTTTATTCCTTGGATGATTACTACAAAGCCCAGTTAGTTTTTTGTAATATTTTTTATGCCGCCTGACACTCAAGCTAATTAATAATAATTATATGTTGAAGTATTTTTTATTTGTAAGTTTTATGATATTTGTATCATTACTGACGCGACCTATCCAGAAATGGTCAACGGTCAAGAGGATGGTAATTATGGTAAGATAAGTTAGCCTACCTAGTCTAGTATTAGAACTGTTAGAAAAGTAACTTAAGTCACTCCCATCATGACATATGGTGTAAACATATTGCCAGATAAAACTTTTACTCTACGCAGAGGATACGCGTAAGTTAAGTTACAGTTAAGAAGAAATGGCATTCAAAGCAAAATATTTTACAAAAAGTTTAAGTTACCGATGGGATTTGAACCAGGAACCTCCTGCATATCAGCCGAGCACTCTATCCAATACACCTCGAACACCGATGGGTGTAGGCTACATTGTATCGTTGTGGTAGGCCTACAGTGTAGATGTTCCAGGCCCAACAACCCAGTGACGTCACTGCCGGACGCGAAGGCCTATCCTCTGTGTTTCTGATAGACCTAACCCAGACCTAGGCCTGACTTACTCAATAGGCTATCTAAAAATACAGACCCTTCATGTTTACATAATATTAAGACTAGGCTAGGCTATAAGGTAAGGTTGGGACAAATTGACTTGGCAATAAGCAATACGCAATGGTAAACTAACCCCACCTTTAAACTAGCCAGAATTATGACTAGGTAACTTAGACCTAGGCCTAAGTTAAGCAGTAAATTTTAAGTTTATGCCTTCCAGAAAATGGCAGCACGACAAGGTTACATTAACCTTCTATGACTATGATATTAAATATTTATATGTACCACTTTCACACAACTCTAAGCCTAAGTTACCTAATGTAAAAATGACCGAACATTGTAATAATGATACACCAAAACCTAACAACAAAATATTAAGGTTTAATTTTATGGAGAACTAACTTATCACTCAAAACAAACCAAATTCCAATTCCACTCCACAAGTTCCACTCAATATCAAAGTCCAGTAACAGTTAGTTGTGATGATGAATATTGTGGTCGTGGTGTGGATGTCTCGATGTCTGTTGTTAGTAGTTGTTTGTTACTTCACTACAGAGCTAACACAACAATAAAATACCGTTACTGTTACACTGTTACTTACCACAGTAACAGTAACAGTAGTAAGTAAGTAAGAACGAACCAACAACAAAACTGTTTCCTTCAATCCTTCCTTCCTGCTTCCTGGTTTGGTTATCTCTCTCTGACAGTGTTGCCAATCCAAAATGGCCCAATTACCCCCTCCAGAGCAAAGAATTACCCGCTTTTTCTCAAAATTACCCTCAACAAACCAAAAATTCCCTTTTAACACTCTTGCCTGTCTCTAAAAGTAACGAATACAAATCCTGATAAATTAGTTTTGAGTAATCCCACAAATTAAGATGTAAAGAACTAAATATAGGACTTGAGACTTGTAATTAACCTTCATAATGAAATTTTCAATCTTACTGACCTTAAAAAAATAATTACATTAAGTTACTTAGGCCTACAATGATTTGGTTTTTTTTATGATAGCCTATGTGATATAATTATTTAGTAAATGAGAAAGTACTGTTAAAAATTTAATTTTTTATTAGTTTTAGGGAGAAAATATAGTTATTATAACCAATCAATATTATTATTCCCCTGTTTTATGTTTTTCATCCTCTTTAGAAGTAGACTAGAGACTAGACTATATAGTTCGGCCGCTTAGAAAACGACCTGCGCGCTAATGCTAAACCAATGCTGGAGGAGGTCGCTTTCTAAGCGGCCGAACTATAGTACATACGGTATTTTCCTTCCACCATGGTATCAGCCTAAGGGACTTTGTTTTATCTATGGTATCAGACATTAAATTAAGGAAGGCCAGGCAACCAAAAGTTTTTCCACTCCAATCCAAAAGAAAAGACTACAAACAACCGTACTGACTGAAACTGAAACTGAACCGAACCGACCGACTGAACGCTGTAGCCTACAAGCCTACTAGTGACTGAGTGAGAACTGAACCAAACTGATGAAGGTTAAGAGAAGTAGTGTAAAACAATAAAAAGTCTATGAAATTACTTTAATTAAAAAAAAAACACAGGGAAATATTTTTAGTTTAGTGAAATATAAAAGTAATAATACGAAAAACAAATAATATTTGATCAGTTGTCATTTACCCGCTTTTTACCCGCCTATTTGCCATTACCCGCAGCATTACCCCCAGGTAACTAAATTACCCGCTTTTCGGGTAATTACCCGCTTTTTGGCAACACTGCTCTCTGAGCAAGGCCCCACTAGAAAAAATCTGAGTCTGGTCTCTCTCTCACACTCTCTGACTCTCTCTCTCTCTCTCTCTCTCTCTCTCTCTCTCTCAAAAAGAATCGTGATAATTTGTTTTCCTTTTTTTGTATATTATACTAAAGCCTGGTTTGCACGGGTAGAGTTGTTGGTAGTGTAGAGTTTATAGTAGAGCTACTTTCTTGTCCACTCTACCGATTTTAAGCAAGCGACTGTTCACACATAGTAGAGTGTTGATGATAGTTTGTGAACTGTTTGTTCCACCTCCATTCCCAAAATGAGTGTTATAAACCAGTTACAAGACAGTGTCAAGTGTCACTCTACCAGAAACTCTACTCTACTGCCGCGGATCGCGGATCTCATTTACACAAGTATAGTGTGCAGGAGAGTGACAATTTTGCTAGTGGTGGGGGAAGTAGAGTAGAGCTACTATGCCACATGTTGCTAGTAACTCTACTCTACCACCTACTATCGCTACTATACTAGCTACTAGGCGCCAGTGGGTGTTTAGGGGACGCGGAAAGGTCGCCCCCGGAAACATCACCCCCCTACGTCATATTGACGTCAGAGACCGAGGGGTGATGTTTCCGGCCGCGGACACTAAATTTCAGTTGCAGCATGCACTCGTTAATATGACGAGTTATTTTTGAGTTTGCGTATTAATTAGATAATTATATTCACTTATCATATACAATTACCAGATTTTCTAATTAGAATTGATGTTAACCGGATACGTTAACCCCGATCGTTTTCAAAATGCACACCCCGGAAAGGTCCCCCCCTGCCATGATCTCCCCCGGTATACCTGCTGTAGGGCTTGGGCTCGTGACTCGAGCCAGCTATTGTTCACAAGGGTAGAGACTGTCCCATATTACCACCGCTCGATTGAACTCGCAAGAATGGGAAGGATTTGGTATTACGCAAATGTTGTGGATATTAAGATAAATACAAATTAACACTTTGATATTGTGCTTTCTCTAGACATTTCCCCTTAATTTTATACATCAAATGATGTATAAATTACATATAGTTTTTTTTCCGTCAACGTATAAAATGTATTTGAAAAACGTGGAAATGAAATAAAATGTTTATAGTAATAGTGACAATTAAGTAAGGAATCAACTCGTATTAATATGAGCGTGCTTCAACCACTCAACATCATAATACAGTACACACTTGACAAAACTATTTTCACATTTCCTAATTCTTAAATTGTAAACATTGAGCAATAAATGCTGTATATAATTTTATACATTTAAATAATTGTCTGGATTTTATGGTAAAATAAATGCATTGAGAATATTCCTGATTTGATATTGGTGAAGGACTCTTTTCCGTAAAAAGAATTTAGAAAGTAAATATTGGTTAGTTTCTTCGGCAATAAACAGGAAAAAGCTCACACTGTTTACGTATGCGTTGACAGAGAAGCAAGCAACAGTGTCACATTCACTTTATTTCATGATTTCACACTGCTGATATTAAATAACTAAATTGACATTGAAGTAGTACAGTTATTCCATGAAAGGTCGCCCATTGTTTTGAAAGTTACACATTTAAATCTACCAGTAGTTCGCAGAATATTAATACGTATAACTTAAAGTTTGCAAGAGAACGTAATCCTAAGTATAGTATCCACTATTCTCAGAGTATTGATTTATGGAATTCGTCTGTAATTTGCAGACTATTAATTCGTAGAGTACAACTGTATTTATAGCGGGAAGTATTTTTTGTAAAATAGCTTAGACTTCCCCACTTCAGGTATCCCTCCCAGGAATACCTGAGCCAAATACGTTTGTTTAACATGGTCAAGGAAAAGTTTAGTTAGTTATTTACTAAAGTCAGTTTCATCTTTTTACCATAATTCGTACATTAACATAATTCATAATTATCAGTGTTATCTAGCCTATGTACTTAATTAATTTGGAAGGTGTTAATTTGTGAACAGAACGCCTCATTGAGTTTTAAACAGATTTTGAAAAAGTTAATGTAATTTGTAAAAAGTATGCTCTGAAGTTGCACTAACAATAAAATCAGCTCAAAATATGGTAGGGGATTTTCCCCAGTGTTTTCTAGAGACCTGCTACACCGGTTTACATTTTTATAACCCTCGAAATTTTGGTATATCGATATAGACTACACACATTCTACAAACATGACATAACTTTCATGGCATAAACTTATAGGCCTACTTACACAGATTTGATTTCAGACAAATCTTGATTTTACCCAAGGGTAGAAGTATTAGAGATGTATAGTTCAAATATACAGATTTCCTAAATACGAAGATCCGTTACGGTAGGAAAAAACAACATTTAAAATTGAAACAGTATGCGGGCAAACACCGACGATCAATATTTAAGTAAACTACTTGTAACATAAAAACGTCAATGACAGTTTGAAACCAGCTGTTAGTTAAAACAGCACTAAAACGACTTTAAATTATTAGCGTCGGCTGCTAGACTAAAAAAATTAAACTTAAAAAATAAAATCATGGCATTGACATTCCCTTCCTTAGAAAATTATATTTATTTCAACCCAAAAATCACGAAATCGCGAAAGTGGTTGATTCAGAATCCTGAAATGAAAAAAAAACTCTGTCACGTTTAAAAATATAATATATCACAATTAATTGCACACTCTAGTGGAAATCGATGAAATCCACCCATATGAATTCTTGCTTATCCGTTTACTTTTCCACTCTTTGCGTTTGTGTACATGCCAAGTCAAGTCTTAAAAACATTACATTTAAAACAATTGTATTAAATCTTCCATAAATTACAAGAAACAGTGACTCGTCTATTTTCCCCGATTCCGAATATTTGTGCGCAATCTTGGCGACTTATGTTCAGTCTCCAGCATTTTGGAGGTGTTCGCAATTCAGACACACCCGTTCCCATAGTATAGTCCGATTATGCTGGTTCACGAACTCGTTCTAAAAAACTTAAGCTTACACGTTTGTAACATATCTCATCAAACTCGCAGCGTTGTTGCCCGAGTTACCGCGCACACGGTCACATATACAGAGTGTATTTATAATGTCCCGCATGGGCTTAATATTTTCAAAACTGCAATAGATAAATCAATAAGATTTGGTACATAAACACCACACCTAAAAACAACGTTTTAAAGACTGTCAGTTTTCTGTCATATAATGGGGACATCCCGCAAGGAGTCAGAAGGAAATCTTAAATAAGAGCATAGGTTGATATTTACAGGCATATTCTAACACTTAGTAAAACGTTATTTTTTGTATTAAAGCCATTTTTCATTTAAGACACAAATGATTTTTATTTTTGCTTTCTTTATTTGTTGTGCTCTTGGTCTTTAATGTTTACCAGGTTTTTAATGATTTATTTGTTGCCAAAAACAATTTAAGAAAATATTTTTAATTATTTACTTACATTATTTTTTACGTAGTTAAAATGACTAAATATTTGATTTGATAATTTGAAATATTATCAACATATTTTTCAACCTTTTCCCATATAAGAAGGTGTCCAAACACTACCAAATAGGTAAAGGTACTACAGTAGCAAAATGTGTATTTATAAAAAGAAATAAAAATAAGAATAAGAAACGAAACACACAAATTTAAAGTGCGTAACACAAAAAATTTATCTTTATGCTTTTTTCTTCTTTTTGTGCTCTTGATTTTTATTTTGATATATTTTATTGTTTTAAATTATATTGTAAATGAAGTTTGTACCGGTACTGTATAAATTCCTTGACACTTTGTAGAATATTAAATTGTTATTCAGTTATATTTTTGTAT